CATCCGAATGGAGCCATCACTGATTCAATGCCCCAAGAATAAGATCTCTGTTTGGGCAAAGTAGCATTTCTCCCTTTTCACGAACAAAGTGTTCTCCCTGAGAACCTTGAAAATTGTCCGAAGGTGCATGATATGCTCCTCGAGCGTTTGACTGTAGACGACAATATCGTCCAAGTAGACGACCATGAACTTATTCAAATACTCCTTGAATAGCTGGTTCATGAGGGCGCAGAACATGGCCGGAGTGTTGGTTAAGTCGAAAGGCATCACCAAGAATTCAAACGCTCCATACCTGGTCACACAAGTAGTATTCGCTTCGTCGCCTTCAGCAATGCGTACCTGCCAATACCCCGACCGAAGGTCAAGTTTTGAGAAATACTTGGCTTTGCCCAACTGGTCGAACAAGTCTGCGATGCGCGGGATGGGATACTTGTTCTTCATCGTAACTTTGTTGAGGGCTCGATAATCGACGCATAGTCGAAGGCTCCCATCTTGTTTCTTCTGGAATAGAACGGGAGCTCCGAATGGTGCTTTAGAGCTGCGGATGAGACCACCGGTTAGCAGTTCACCTAACTGCTTTCTGAGTTCTGCCAACTCTAGCGGGGGCATGCGGTAGGGTGGTCTCGCTAGAGGCTTCACTCCTGGCTCCAACTCGATGAGATGATCCACGCCTCTGCGTGGCGGTAGAGTTTTCGGCAACTCAGGTGGCATAACATTCGTGAACTCCTTCAGGACATTCGCCACCACAGCAGGTTCATGAGTGGCCTTCTCGTCGAGTGGCTCTAGCTTCATAGCAGCCACGAATGTTAGTTCGCCTTTTCGTACCCCTTTCTTTAGTTGTAATGGCGATATATGTTGGGGTTCCCTGGTTCCTCTTCGAGAAACAGGAACCACACAGGGGTCGTCACCTCCCATCACACATAGGGAGTTAAGGAACGACATTGGCACCAACTTCGCCGCGTGCATAAATTCCATTCCAAGAATCATTTGGAAGTCATCCAATGGCACCGCCATCATGTTTGTGCTCCCGCTCCATGTTCCGATCTTGATGGGAACTCCCTTTGCCAACCCGGAGATTCGCTTGGCCTCCGAGTTCACCGCCTTCATTTGACTTGGGCTCTTATCCAAGATCAGCCCAAGTCGCTTTGCTTCTCGATCAGCAATAAAATTGTGGGTAGCGCCCGTGTCCACCATTGCACAGGTCGTTTGGCCATTGAGCTTAATGTCTACGTACATCAGCTCGCCACTTCCTGCTTTTTGTAACCCGTCTTCGTGTTCTCCCCCACTTGACCCCGCATCTTGTCCTTCTCAAACATGTCCTGTATGTCCAGCTTTAGCGCAGAAAATTGCTTCACGTAGTCTCAAATGGAAGTATTTTGGCGGAGTTGTCTCAACTTCCTTCTTGCGACAAACTCTGTGTTCTCCGGTGGGAACTGAGTTCTCAACTCCCGCTTCAGGTCCTCTCATATGTCAACTCGACACCGACCTTGTTGGATCTCCCCCCAACGGGTTCGCCACCAAAGCTTTGCATCTCCGTTCAGATACATTGTTGCTATAGAAACTTTGTTTTCTTCAGAATCAGGCCTCGTAGCTCGAAAGTATTGTTTCATATCAAACAAGAAATTCTCGATCTCTTTGGCATCTCTGGCCCCTCCATAACCATGAGGCTCAGGTGCCCTCAAGTTATGTGGTGGCGCAACGCAGGTGTTGCTTCCTCCCGCATTTAGTGCTCTTGTAAGTATGGTCACCCTTGAAGTGAGTTCCGCCACAACTTCCTGCAGGTGTTGCACGGAGTCTTTGGTATCATCTGATAATCGGTCGACTAGGGCCTCAACCTTGTCGATCCTGGACTCCGCTTCTTCTTGCGAGCTTTCTACCCCAACAAGCCTTCGTTGGCCATGGTAGAGTTCCTCCAAGCTCGCTTCAAGAACATCCAAGCGGGTTTCCGTTGTTGTGAGTCTCTCCTTATGACTCTTTTTCCCGGTTGCGCCTCCTCCGCTCGCGGAGAGCAGCCAACTTCTCGCTCATCATGTTCGCTGCCGCGCTCCTCCTGAGCGGCTCCAACAGCATGAGAGCGAGTGTTCACTTGTAGCCCACCTGCGGCCGCTTAGGGCAAGGGTCCGGCTTGCCCCGTCTTGCTTGATTCGCCACGATGCTTTGCCATGGCGAAGTTGCGAAGTTCCTTCGCTGCTCGCTCAAAGTGCTTGCCCGCTCTGATACCACAATGTCACGGACTTAGCTGGAATTACTTAAGTTGCAAGGCACCCTTGCGGCAAAGACGCGAACTTAGCTTGCGCTGTCTAAGTCGCGCATCACCCTTACGAAATGCGTCCGCAAAGACCAGCCCACTTGCAACCGTCCCGAAGGACCTGTAAAAGAGAAAGTTGATTAGTTCGAAGAACGAGCGATGGACAAGTCCCGACGTCTCGCGAAAAGGGGAAGCTTTACAAGCAATTCAGCGAGCACCTTGCGTGCACAAGAGAAAAGAGGGAGAGGAGGAAAACAATGACTTTATAAGGTTGAACGAACAGTTGCAAGTCCACAAACAGCTGCTCATCGAGTGTCGTGCACGACAACAAGTTCCCGTCAAGGTAACGTGCGAACTTGTGAAAGATTATTCAATGCCCAACACTATACCGAAGCCCCATCCCCCATGGTGCCACCCGGGTGGTTCTAGGGTGTTGAGATGGATGACGTTTTGCGTGCAGCAGCGGGCAGCAGAAAACAGCCCGTGGCACGCGAAAATGGAGCTGTTTTGCTCGGTTCGGTGAGCGGTCGCACTGTAGCGCTACAACTTGTTCGAACTCACATTTTTACAAGCAAAAGGACTTAAAACCAAGCCAAAACATGCTGCCAAGCAACTGTACATGTAGATTAGAGCGACGAACGGTTCGTTGAACGGAGTTGTTGCGGGTGCGTGACGACCGTTCGTGACAATAGTATCACGGACAAAACTGTAAACGAGGTGTTTGATGTAATGCTTATGTATATCCGTGTCTTTCGGTTTTGTTTATGCTTTGCATAACATATAAGGGGTTAGTAGTAGGCTTAGCAGCCCTATTTTCTTTGGTTTTGGTGGTCGTCCTAGGCTTGCAAACAAAGGTTGTGTCATGTGGGCACTTGTGAGGATTTCGGTCTGTAGTAGACCATTTTGGACCCTTTGTTGTGCAACCGTTCAGAGCTTGTGCTGTTTGTAATTTGCATTGGCTATGAAGTGTTTATTGAGATGATTGCTTGTGGATCCCGAGTGAGACGCTTTCTCTAACCCGTTTTCTCTTTTGTAAGTCTTAAGGGACCATAAGAGGTTTTGGGGAGGCTGACCTTTACGGACGGACACGTAAGGGTGCCACACGACTTAGACAAAACCAGCTAAGTCCGTGACAATAGGGCACAAGGTTTAGTCAGTTTCTTTCACATGCTAAGCTAACAGTCGTGTTGTCAGAACTGCCTTTCAAGATCACTTAGCTGAGGAACATGTGGTCTTTGGTATCATCCTATGAACAACTTTAGAGAAATTTGTAATTATGATGGAAAGATGCCTGACAATATGAAATAAAGTACTGTTCATGAGAACAAATATTAATGTGTCAAGTTTATAAATACAAGGTGAAATAGAAGCAGTGGTCCATGTTAAAAATTGTTAAGGAGAACGAATAGCAAAATGTTTGAGTAGGCCAAATTGGTATTATGCTGATTCTTCATCTACTATTCTTCCAAAGATATCAGAGAAGTTATGCAGAAATGTTGTCGTTTGTGCTCAACTAGGTATAGTTCCTAATGAGTACAATATGACAGAAAATGTCTTTGTGGGTTTGATATGTTCGGATGAATTACTAGGTGATATTAGCCAGTTTAGAATGCTGGTGCTGCTCTAATGGCCCAACCCAACAGAGAGCTGAGAGTGGTACAGCATCACAATCTCCCATGATTTATCATATGAGAATGCAAGGCGTAGACTTGTATAAATAATTTACAAACATATTTATACACTTGGAATCATAATTAAATAAATAAAAGTTATTCATAACAGGCTCGGTCAATTATATTGCATCCTTAAGGATTTAAAATATTGAAATCCAAATAACATTATTATCAAAGTCAAATCCAAACTCAAGAAAATTCAAATGACAACACTTGCCCATATCTGGTCTAAAAAGCTTATTTAGGTACACCATTTGCTTCTTACTTTTGAGTTGGTGGTGGTCACACCGTAATCAATTTTTTAGAATACATGTGCACCCTGCAGTTGATCAAACAAATCATTAGTTCCTGGTATGGGATGTGTATTGCATAATGTTGCTATTGGATTCCAGTAATCAATACAAAGTCTCAAACTTTCATCCTTCTTCACAAATAAAGTAGGAGCATCCCAAGGAGAGGTGCTAGGTCTAATAAATCCCTTGTCAAGCATTTCTTATAGTTGTTCCAACTCTTCCAATTTCATTGGTGCAATGCTATAGGGAGCTTTAGTGATTGACCCAATACTAACTATTAAATTCAATCTCTTTGTCATGTGGAAATACTAGCAATACCAGTTCCATCAACGATCAACTGCTACTTTCGCAATGTTAGTGCTCCTTTTTTTGTTCTATTATTTTCACTTAATTGAAATTTGAAAGAGGTACTTAATGGTTTGGCCACCTTAAAGGCAAGAAGCTAGTGTGAATCTCTCGTATATAGCGGTTGAGGCAACTGATTATTCTGAGTACCTGCTTCCCAGTTTATTTGACAGTTAGAATAGACAGATTGCTTAGGTGCTGTCCAGCTGCCTGGGCATTCCCCTAATTATTCAAGCTGAAGATGGGAGCCATCCTGTGTATGACAGCTGTCTAATTATCCTAGGCAGCTGATGTTAAAAACAATAGTTGTATGTTTTCTTGGTTATTGAAAATATGAAGTTTTGTACTTTGATTTGGTGCTTTTATGTTGCTTCATTAGTGTCAAATCCAATATGGAAGTCGACAAGAAAGTGACTTATGCTTACCCATTTCTCATGTCAGGATCCTAAAATTCGTCCACTTGTTGAAGATGATACCCAATCATTGGAACGCATGCTTCCTGAAATCCCCCTGTGGGTGAAGTATTCAGACTATGACCGAGTATGTATGCCATTTTTATTTTTTTGAACTGGAGTTCATGGATGGTGTTGGCTGAATATCACAAACTGTAGCCTTACTTTTCTATCTCATAGTTAATGTCTCTCTTTTATCTCTTAGTTAATACCTTTTTTTTTCATTTGAAGATTGATTGGTTAAATAAAATAGTGGAATTGATGTGGCCTTATCTCGATAAGGTATGCTTTGATTCTAAACCTTGTAGAGATCTTATCATGCAAGTACATAGAAGTGTCTCATTTTACTTCCATATTAATGGTCTTATATTTATACAAGGCTATCTGCAGAACTGCAAAACAAGTTGCAGAGCCAGTAATTGCAGAAAATGCTCTGAAGTATAAAATAAATTCAGTTCAATTTGAAACGCTCACTCTTGGTTCACTACCTCCAGCATTTCATGGTTAGTATTTGTGTAATTCGTGGGTTTTTTTTTTTGTGTGGATGTCTTATGTTTTTCTTGAAGCGACTTTCTTTTCTGAGAAATTCAGGAAAAGACATTCTCTTTTCATTTCATTTTCAGTTCAAGAAGTGTTGTCAAAAGAGATAGGACTTGGAAGTACTTTGACATTTTAAACCCTTTTTAGTAAGACAACACAAAATCCCCAGACTACCTATATTTGTTAAAAGGAAGAAATTAGTTTATATTGTCATCTATTAGAGTATCCTAGGTTAGCCTTAATAATTTAATGGCAATTCTACAGACAAAAGATTATTTGTTCCATTAATCTATTATATTTCTCATTAATGTTCTCTCCTGTAATTTTGACTACTGTATGATTCCAACTCCATTCCTGACTCCTCATTTTCTTTTGTATTTTCTGATGAGCTCCATCCAAGTATGATCTTTTGTCAGGAATGAAAGTTTACATTACAGAAGAGAACGAGCTTACTCTGGAACCATCACTAAAATGGGCTGGGAATCCCAATGTCATTACTGTTATTAAAGCCTATGGATTAAGATTGACCATACAGGTCAGTAGCATATGCCTTATTCTTGATACATCTGGCTTTGGTGCCTGTGTGCTGGTTCAGTTGTATCTGACAGCAGAGGGTGACTTTGGAGTCCGAAATGTTTGTTAACCTTTTGGCAGTTTTATATTTTCAGATGGTAGATTTGCAAATCTTTGCTGCTCCACGCATTACTTTAAAGCCATTGGTTCCCAGTTTTCCTTGTTTTGCAAAAATCTGTATGTCTCTCACAGAAAAGGTGTGTAACAAAATGAAAACAAACTCCTCACTTGATATTATTGTTCCTTGTTATGCATAAGATGTGCAGCCATTAAAAAAAATTTGTTATTCCCTCTTTTACAGCCACATGTTGATTTTGGTCTCAAACTTCTTGGGGCTGATCTTATGGCAATTCCTGGTCTTTACAGATTTGTTCAGGTTGTTTACAGTTTATATTTTTCTTGTGCCATCATAATATTTCTAAACTTTTGTCTCTCTAAAATTGTTAAAATGCCCATTTAGTTCTAGAGATGTTTAAATAAGCTTTTAAATGAACCTGTTAATACTAGTTCAATTGTTATTTAGTAAATATTATATTCAATCAAATTATAATTGCTCTTAGAATCCTTATTATTTACATCCTGGACCCAAAGAGTTTATTTTGTTGATTTTGTTTGGCATTTTTTCTGTACGTAATCGTTACTTGGTTTTCTTACATGTGTTTATTCATTTAACTGCTCAAGTTTTTGTATCATCTATTTTAGCTTAATGACAGAACAACTCATAATATTAGGTAAATACACTTACTATTCAACCTTCATTTGTATACAACATGCCATTGAAGATCTGGAATTCACGGTCAACTATATGTACAGTAAAAGAGGCCTAAGAGGACATGCTTTCACATATGTATTTGAGAACCTTTTTATTGGGACTTCAGAAACAGAGTTGCAATGGAGTTTACAAAGAAGGCTTGATGCCTTTTCTTTGAAAATTGTTAATTGTATTAGACTATTGCTATTTTCATGATATGTCAGAGCATCTAGAAATCTCGTAAAGGTTTATCATTTTTTAGCTGATTTTGAATTCATTAAAATTCTTCTAATTAGGATTTAAAATTATTGATTCGCACTTGATATTTTTATTAAATGTGCAGCAAATTACCTTACCTGTATTTTTATGGTTCCAATGCTTAATTCTTTTCTCTGACGATGATGTTGGACCATATGCAGGAGACTATTAAAAACCAAGTTGCAAATATGTTCCTGTGGCCTAGAATCCTGGAAGTGCCAGTTCTGGATGTCTCAAGGTAATCTGATGCTAATATGTAGTTTGAGAATCATTAAGTTGTTATTCAGAAAAAAAAGATATTGACTTTATTATTTAAATTAAATCCTACGTGATTTTTCAGAGCCTCAAAGAAGCCTGTTGGCATTCTCCATGTGAAGATCATCAAAGCATACAAATTAAGAAAGTTGGATTTTTTTGGAAAATCAGACCCATATGTGAAACTTAAGCTTTCTGATGAGAAGCTTCCATCAAAAAAGACATCTGTGAAGCATAGCAATCTTGACCCTGAATGGAATGAGGAATTCAAGTTTGTTATCAAAGATCCAGAAAATCAAGTTGTGGAGCTTAATGTCTATGACTGGGAGAAGGCATGCAATTTTCACAATACATTTGTTTCCTATCATATTTTCCATAGGGTTTTGTCTGTATGCTTATTTATTACCTCATTGGATGTCTGTTATTATGTTTATGCATATGATTTTAGGTGGGTAAACATGAAAGAATGGGCATGAATGTTATTCAGTTGAATGAGCTTACCCCTGATGGGCCAAAAACTCTGACACTCAATTTGCTTAAGAATCTCGAAAGTAGAGATGTTCAGAGTGACGAATCGCATGGACAAATTGTTGTGGAAGTGAAATACAAGCCCTTTAAGGAAGAAGATCTGTCAAAAGATATTAGTGAGAACGCAGATGCCGTAGAAGACTCTCCTGATTATGGTCCATCAGGTGGTGGTTTGCTTGTTATCATTGTTCATGAAGCTCACGATCTTGAGGGCAAACACCACACAAACCCATATGCAAGGATCCTCTTTAGAGGAGAAAAGAGAAAAACGAAGGTATCTTGTGAATTGGTTGCTGATTACCAGTTCTTTGTGTAATGTTTCTGCAATTTATAATTGATTAATGAGATGATTATCAATTTATGGATGCAGCACATAAAGAGTAACAGAGATCCAAGATGGGAGGAGGAGTTTCAATTTGTGTGCGAGGAACCCCCAGTTAATGATAAAATGCAAGTGGAGGTACTCAGTAAAGCACCAATTATTGGCATATACTCTAAGGTATATTTGACATGTCATTTCTGCAAGAAATCTGTTAGTATGTAAATAGGATAAATACATAATGTTTGTTGATTAACTCATTATTAGATTGTGCATAATTCAAGTGTTGCTTAGATGTCAACTGCACCTATAGAATTATATCATTTCTGATGATTGAGGTACCTGGTGATTCTCCAGGATAATGTGTTCTGAATACTAGCAAGATAATAGTGAAACAATTTGCAAGATAAATAACTAGAACTGTGTAATGTCCATCTCCATGATCCCATATATTCACCATAAAGGAAAAATAGAAGACAACAGTAGTAAGCAAAGAAATATCATCCATAATTTCTCTTTCATTTAAGTTGTAAAAGAAATTGAGATCCCAGAAATGTCTTTTTTTTTTATTTAGTCTGTAAAAATCCAAGATATGTTCATTTTGTAAGAATTATAACAGACAAAGATAAATAGGAAAGATGGGAATGTATAAACATTATGAACTTTATAATGAAGGAAAGGAAATTTGAATGACTAATTTGTAGTCCAAATTATGTTTTCCATAGTTATTATCACAATGTTGATTTGTTATTACTGATTTTTGATTTGATGGTTATAGCAGCAATGTTTCTTTTGATTCTTGTAATTTCCTAGTCTTAATACTAATCTAAATCATGCCATTTTGTTTCAGGAAATTTTGGGATATGTCACCATTAGCCTCGCAGATGTTGTGAACAGCAAGAGAACCAATAATACATATCATCTCATCGACTCCAACAATGGCCAAATTCAAATAGAGATGCAGTGGAAGACTTCTTAGAGCTTTCAAACGAACTAATCCCAGCACCGGCTTAGTATTTGAAACATGAGGGAAGAAGTTTCATGGTAAAGATATTTGGCTCAAGAATCACCTTTTTGTTTGTATTCTTGATAATATGATGTTTGTGTTATCGTGGTACAGATGTAAATTTGATGACAAAATAATCCAGTCTTCGTGAGTGTATGGGTCTCTTATTGGATAAATAAAGCTGGGATTATATCAATTTGGGTAAATAATCCAGTTTCCCTTCCATATCTGAAGCCGTTCGTTCTATGTTGTGGGTACAGGACAACTAACAAGCAAGTATGATTCCTCGTGTCTTACATTTGAAACTGTTGGTGGATGATCAAACAACAAGACAAGACAAGCAGCCAACACAAACACATGTCAGTGAAACGGTAAAGTGGTCTATTAACTCGGAAAGGACAGCTACACAAGTATCCCAGCAAAGCCTTGAGAGGACAACACCGCCAACGGTGTCCGATTTGCACGAGACTGAGTTCGGCGCATCCTCATCTTCCCAAAGGCAGCAGCAGCAGCCTCTTGGGATCGAGCACGCGATACACCGACTCGAAGGCCTGCATGCACACACCCGAGAAACCCGTCATTGCTTGGAACACATGGGGAAGCCCCGTCTGCAGATTGTTCAGCGTCATCGCCCTCGTCACCCCGGCGCTCTTCTCGTACTTGCTCCTCTCTTCCTCCGCCTTCGCCTTCAGAGCCTCCACCTCCGCGCGCTTCTCCGACTCCAAGGAGCCACGCTTGCGCTCCAGTGAACTGAGCTGTTCCACCCTCTTCTCCAGCTCCTTGAACGCCGCTTCCGACCTCTTCTTCTGCTTCTGCTCCTCGGTCTGCTGAACGACTACGGCGCGGACCACGGTCAGGAAGCTTTTGATCCCCTCCGAGGCTACTCTGTCAGGAACTCGATCCAGGGCGAGCTGCCACTCCTCGCACAGAGGGTGGATGTCCGGGGTGGTGCGACCGTGGTGGTGGTGGTGGTGGTGGTAGAAGAGGGAGAGGCGGAGCCAGCCGGTGAGAGCATGGACGTAGACTCTATGGGAGTCGACAAGGCGGCAGAAGGCGACATGCCAATTCTCCACCTCCGACTCGAGCTGGAGCGCCGCCTGCCGGCGCATGTCGCTCGTGGGACGAGTGCTCAGTGCGCAGTTGAGGTACTCCAGTTGCTGAACGATGTGCGTCTGGACCTGATGGCACTCATACATGCTCCTCCACATGCCCATCAATCTGCATCTCACAAGACAACATTGTTGGACAGTGACAAGATAGAGAATGCAGCAGAGTGACCCTCATGGTAGAATACTTCATTCTGATGGTAAGAGCATTACCAATTTCATAATCCATCATGTTGTTTATCTATAGATTCATATTCACGGTTAAGCCAATTCAAATATATATGTATCATTGGATACTAATGGATGCTTTACTTGCTGAAGGAAATGCGGCTAGAACGAAATACTGGGATTACAATGAGACATCTCAAGCCAAAAGAGGTAAAGAGTACCAAGACATTTTTAGACTTCCAAACATGCCTAGATCTTCCATGTACATTAATAAATAGCTAACACAACCTCGTTGCAATGTTCTTAAAAAAAACACTATGTAGGTCACTGTTCTGAATTATTGATTATATATATATATATATATATAAGCAATAATCTGTATCATTTAGTAGAGAGTTGATGTCCCAAAGCCACTTTTAGCATTTACCTGCTAGGTTTATAGAAATTTTATTCATGTAGAAATGTTGATTAGTCCTAAGCTTTTGAAATCAAGTTTATAGGGAAGGACAATGCCATCATTTCCACCAACAGAATAGAAATACAAAACAAACAATAGAGAACCTTAAAGTCCCAACATTTTTGTAATCTAAAAGACTCTTTTCTACCATAAAACACCATATCATTGTCACCAGTTCAGTGCATTTAATAAAGATGAAACAGAGATGCAACTATCAAGATTTGAATTTTTGAAACATGATAAGAAGTTCTTGCAGAAGTCAGATGCCTTTCTGGTAGAATAGTTTAATGTGCTGATAACTACTTCATGAGCTCAAAGCAGGATTAGAAAAGTTTAATTTTCTTTTTATTTTTTCTGTTCTGCTAAAATGACCGCAAGGTTGAATACTGAATAAACTAAAACCAGCATCACAACTATATTTCTATAACATTGATTCCATCGAACTGGTGTGGTTTTATGTTGCCACTATGATTACCAGCATATGTTTAATTTAATGTTGATGAGTAATAAAATATTTTTGTCCCGAGGTAATTCATAAAATCCTCCTGTTCTAAAATGTTTATCTCAGAGCTCACATCCTGAAAATGAGAATGCATCAACACAGATTTCCTAGTGCCAATCTTTTTTTTCTTGTACCCAAATATTCTTTCATACATGGTGAGGGACATCTAAATAATAGGAGGGGGGGTATGGGATGTCTCAAAATTTTGATGTTCCTCTTCTTACTTGAATCAACAGTTGCATTTAGATAGCAGTATCATGGATGATTATGGCAGAACTTACAGAGCTCAGTACAATCACAGGTATGGCACCAAAACACACTCAATTTGCCCTAGTGAAGAAGAAAGTGTAGTACACTGCAGACTCATTTCAGTATTTCTATGTTGCTAGTGCTTTCTAAATGACACTAACTATTAAGATCGATTCAAGTTAGTTTACATACAATGTTGTTAGTTATCAGAATCATATATTGACAATGAACTAACAAATGATCACCTACTCAAGTATTGCAAATTGCAGAAACCTATAGGACAACATACTGATCGTGCAAAGTTTGAACTGATACTTGGCATCTAAGTCTGCAAGACCATCACAAGTTGGACTACTTTGGTGTGTATGTGCAAATGATATCGATGTCCTGAGTTAGAGAAGAGTCCTCTTCATGTAAAGTAGTAGTAGTAGTAGTAGGAGTAGCAGATCAATCAGAGCATGCTGGTGCTGGTAGGAAAATCTTCTCTCTAGGAATTCATATCTCCACCCTACTAATTTCTTATTTACTCTTGAAGTTGCAGGACCGGATGAGTCTTGTAAAAAACTTTCAAAGGTTAAGAAGGTGGGGCAGTGTCAAGGAAGGGTGAAATGTACTACCCTTAGTTTAGCCTTGTTTGGAATATCTGACAGAACTCACTGTATCAGCAGGACCACACGACCAAGCAAATGCATGATGGCTTTTGAGTAGAAATGGCAAACATGTGACCCCTTCAACCTTTTTCCTGTCTTAGTGCCAGATAGATAGATAGATAGATAGATAGATAGATAGATAGATAGATAGATAGATAGAGAGAGAGAGAGAGAGAGAGACTAACCCAGTAACCAGTTCAAGAAGCTGAGGGGAGAGCTCAGACTCCCTCAGCTTAATGATTGCAGAGGTAGTGGTCTCTATGGCCTGAGTGGCTACCATCATCTTGGATTCCAGTCTCTCAATCTCCATCTTGTTCTTCACCACCTTCACATAGTCCATGCCTTTGGCCTCTTGCTTCCTCAGTAGGCTCATCCTCTTCTCATGCTCCTCTCTGATCATCTCAGCATTCTGTGATAGAATAACAAACACCAAACAGGCACATGATTTATGCAAACAGAGCATGACCTTTTAAGTAGAAGCTTTCACCATAAACAACATGACAAGCATTCCATGTGGTCTTTTTCTGTCTAGTTCTGTTCTTTTTGGAGCTACCAATGTATTTGCCAACAATAAAATAAGCTAATTAATCATCAAAACTATACAAATGGTATGTGTTGTAATGTAATAAGCATATTATTGTGTCTAAGATTCGAACTAACATATGTTTTTTTCTTTGTCTGGGAATCGCAGGCTGCAGCACTGACAGAATTAAGGACAAGAAGTGAAGAAGAGAATGTCCTGTGAGAGAGCAAAGGAAATGTTTGAGTAAAACAACTTTCAGATGGCCACTGTACCTTAACCTCAAGATAGAGCTTCTTCTCCCAAGCATAGAGCTTCTCCATGGTGGAGGTATGACTCATGTGACCACTTCCAACTCCTCCATCTCCACTTCCATTTCCCCTCCCCATCTCCTCCCTGCACCTCCCAAACCTAGTGAAACCACCAGTAGCCTTCGAGTTGGATCTCCATGACCAATGCAAGTGTCTCAAATTCTTGCCATAAGCGTGCATTTTACCTACATCGTAGGCGGAGCACGAAAATCCAGTCGATTACGGACAACAAAATTTGCAGAACAATTGACCGATCTGTGAGAACTAGGTGTAGAAAGAACTCATGGAGATTACCTGCAAGGTCTTGGTTGGAAGATAGGTCACAGAGTGGAGCTTCTAAGATGAATGAAACCCGGCTTCCGGCCTCAGCCGCCTTGAGGAAGTAGTCGTCGAGCTCCTTGACTATCTCGGAGAGATCCTTTTTGCCTCTCGGGACAACCACCATGGCTAGCTCACTGGCTGAATCCTTGGAGTAGCCGCTGACCACCGACGGTGGCGGCCCCACTGCGGGCGCCGTGGTGACTTCCGAAACGGTGGTGGTAACCTCCTCCCACTCCTCCTCGGTGGCCGACCGGGAAGAGGACGGGACAAAGGGGTCCCAAAAATCCCAGCTTGAGGGTGGTGGAGGCGGTGGTGGGGGGAGGATCGGAGAGGCGGTGACCGAGGAGGTCCAGTTGTCGGAACTCGGGCTCACCGGGGGATGCGACGAAGTCGAAGGCGGCGGCTGCGGAGGAGGAGGAGGAGGAGGGGAGGGTGGGGGTGGCAGTGAGGAGGAAGTGGACGGGATGGGAGGGAGCTGGTGGTGGAGGTGGGTCTCGGCGTTGGCGAACTGGAGGAGAGCGGCGCCGGTGGCGCGAAGAGAGCGAAGGTAAAGGGAATGGGCGGCGGCGAAGGCTCGCCGCCCCCGCACGAGCTGCTTCATGTATCGCCGCCGGGCTTTGCACCGCGACACCGCCTCCTGCCTCTCGACCCTGGAATGCCAACAACCCATCTTCTCCTTCGTGTAAGGCTGTTCCAAGAGGAAAGACGCCTCCTTTTCCCCCCCTTGTGCTTCTTCTTCGACCTACCCTAAATCTCTTTTCCGGCCATTGGAGCACAAAGGCGGCTCCTTTTTTCCCCTCTGTGAGAAAATCTACCGCTTTCTTCTTCCACTTGCTTCCATCCTTTGCTCTTCTCAAGCAAATATCCACTCCCTGAAGGAACTGTTCATGGCGACCGAAGCGTATCAATGCAAAAGCCTTAAGTCTAGATTTTGTACAGCGTTATTGCAGCAGGAAGAAGGCGCGCAGAGCTCCGTCGCTTGCCTTGATAGAAGAAGAACTGTGAGCAACACTCCAAGCCTCATCAGGTTCTTTTCGTCTCTCTCTTCCGCTTGATTGCAATGGAAGAGAAATGGAGGCACGGAGGAAACAGAGCAGTCGTCGGGGGATGAGAGGGACATTGGAGTCTTGGGCAGTGTGCATGAAGTCCATTTTACTACACTGCCCCTGCGTCATGCGCTTTCTATTTCTGGGACCGTTAAATGACTGCCAAACGGTAAAAGGCTTTCTTTTCGGCCGATCGATGCGGAGAAAGGGGTGAATCGTAGGGGTAGTCGTGTCATTTGATTCGTCCAATGTTTGTGTGCTGAAGAAGAAGAAGAAGAGCGGGGCGTTTCGTTATTCTCGGCAGCTGTGGAGGTGCAATATTGGTAATTCAACCAATAAATTTTTGAGCATGAAGTAATTTTGGAAAAAATATTATAATAAACCAATAAATTAATATTTGCAAAATAGGAAATACTACTCAAAGAAATATATGGGTTGGATGATACGATGACATGTATTACATATATATATATAAATTTAGGTAGTTTACTTAGAAGAATCTCCACTCATTATCTGAAGGTGCACTCGTATTAAATTCTTCATTGTGAATATTAACTTTATCCTCCTGTTTTAATTATTTTTAAAAAAAATAATTATTTTTTTTTTCTTCCATCTCCTCTTCTTTCTTTGAGTATAAGGAGTCGATTTAATTGAGTTAGATGACATATTTGTTCATTCAATAGAGAGACACATAAAAACCAACTAGTTGAACCTTGTTTTTTTTCTTTTTTTCTTTGGATAAATTATATTACAATTTTTTATATGAGCATTAAGACAGGATTTTTTATAAAAAAAGTATTTTTTTTTAAATTCCAATAATGCATCTATTGTTGCTTGTTGCATAAATTCCATCATTTTACTTAAAACGATATGAATACCTAAAATCTACATGTCTTGCATTTTTCTACATGCTGTCAACTTGGTTTAATTTGAAATTATGCATTCAGATAATTTTTTATCAATTAAATTAATTAATATTTTTAAAAAATATATGTAATTTAATATTTCAATTATTCGATATTTGATTCTTTGGTAAGTGAGTTTGGTACATTATTATTATCATCATATAAATGTTTAAATATAAAAACTATTAAATGAAATTTTGAATCCTCGACTTTTTGCTAGGTGGGTCTGAGACATTATCACGAAACCAATATTTTAGATGTATAGAATATATTTTGATGATTAAATTTGATACATGTTATTAGAATCACGAAACAGAAATCTCAACCCACCACCCACCTGTGATGGTTTATGAAAAGAGCCATCCATATGTGTTAAGCTTGTAACGGAGGAGACTAGTCTATTACCCCTTAGATATGAAAGAAGGAATATAATCGAAGTTATATATACAATCAACACTCTCAGGGTCACAGCATCATGCTTTGCATGTTGAGATCACTTCCTTCCATGAGCTAGTGAGTGAATCCATGTGTTAAAAGTGACTGTTCAGCGTACATCTAATAAGTGATCACACTACAGAACTGAAGGAGCACTCAAAAAACAAGTGATTAACACTAACATAAGACACGCAGGATGTCTGGGACTTTTCATTACAACTGAAGTGAAGAACACTTTAGGGGTTCAGAAACCTGTTTTTTTTCTCTCACATCAGATGTGAGACCAAATAAACATTAATACCATCAATCCTTATCTTTTTTTCTTTTTCCATTTGGTTTCTCAAAGAAATGGCACAGCAGAATATGGAAATCAATGTGCTATTTTTACTGGTATAAGGCAAAGAAAATTCAAATATTTTTTATTGTGTAACTTTACATCGTGAAGTCAGCATGACTCGATTTGATCCCAAGAATATAAGGTCGACCACATGGTTTCTTGAGAGAAGGGGGTCGGTGCTAGGTTGGGTCGGAGCACCATAAATTAGGTCAACTCGAGGTAGAGCAAAGGGTCGACTCTTCTATGTTGGGCTATTTTCACTAGTCTAATGCAAAGAAAATTCAAATACTTTTTATCGTGTAATTTTACGTCGTGGAGTGGCTTGGTTCGATCCTAAGAATATAATGTCGTCCACGTGGTTTCTTGAGAGGAGGGGGTCGGTGCCAGGTTGGGTCGGAGCACCATAAATTAGGTCAACTCTTCTATGTTGGGCTCTTCCGTGTCGATCTGCACACATGCCAAAATTAAGAAGGGGATTCTCGACTCAATGCCTCCGAAGCTTATGTCAATATGAGGAGTTGAGGATATTATGAGTGTTTGAGGTTCGATCCCTTGACGCTGGCCAGGGAGTTAGTTTTTATATCTATAGTTAAGGGTTGATCATACATGATTCGTTAATGGCCATCGATGTTGCAAGCGATTGACTTGTACGCTCGACGCTATGCGAGTCGACTTGCACGATTCCGCATGGTGTGATACTGAACCACCATATGTGATTCCATCTTGGGTGATGTACGGATACTATATCAGTTTCGAGGTGTCACATCAACTATGGGGTGACTGTTAACTGTTGTGACATGGGCAGTACTAGAATTTCTATGCCCCGTCACTTTTTATTTACATAAGCAAGCATTATGATGCTATTTAGAGTTGGGAAAACACTGCTACAGCTGCAGAGAACAGCACCTAAATAATCTCTTCGTTCTTCTTCATCTGTTACTTACTGACAAGAAACCGTGTCTACTACGTATAACATCAGCTACTTAGTCCGTATGATTTGCTCATGTGATGCTAGTTTTGGTTTGGTGTCATATTCCTCCTCGTTCACAGGTTGATGGATTTTAATCACATATAGCATTGCCTTCACAATGTTGAAGTACTAATAGATATTACTTTCTCTTTTGGAAACAAGAAAAAGAAAGCCTTTTAGCTGTTGTGCTTTTTGACTTTTGCCATCAGATCAGATGATGCACAACAAGACATGAGAAGAAAACACATGAGAAATCTCGATGAATGACAAATAAAGAATTGTTATTAGTTGCCAACTACGGAACCATCATCAGATTACAACACTGTTAGATTAGAATGAGATCTACTGCTACTGCAAAAGCAAGCAAGACGTACCTCTGGAAGCCAAGGAGAACAAGCTCATCTCCTTCCCATTCCCTACTGATGATACCAACAAAGCTCGAATGCTTTGAATGATGATATCTGTTGTTATTTGGGTGAGTTCATCGCCTGAGTTATGTCCTGAAAGATCTTAAGCCTCTTCCCCATCTTCCCCTCACACAAAGCTGGACTACTCTTGCTGTTGTTAGCATCTGCTTTCTCATCTGCAAGAACAGGACCCAAAACTGCAGCCACGATCGCCTCGTCGAATGCGTTGTTGTCCGGCAACTCCGGCCACTTATCCACCGTCTCCTCCACCGAGGTACAGCTTCTACCACTCATTTCTCCCTCTGCGGCGACCTTGGCCTGTGAAGCCTTCTCCGGCGCCTGCCCTGACCTTGTCCTCTTCAGATTTCCCAGAGGATCATGGTCTTTCATCAGCTTCGAAGAAAAAAATGGCGGCGCGTCGATGTTGAGTGCATTGCCCGACGTGAGCTCCGGTTTTATGTTGCTGCTCGTCCTGTTCAGGCTGTCGACGTTCTCGTCGGAAAATTGGTCTCGAGGCGGCGGCGGTAGCATCAGGTAATCGACGCACGGCTGCGGCTGCCATATGGAAGCGGAACCCGTGAAAGCCTCGAAGAGCCAATTCTGATCGAATCGGCCGTGGCCGCTGTGGCCCGAGAGTTTGGCTTCGAGGTCACGGAGCATCTCCTGCGCTCTTTCGAAGGCCTTGAGGTGCGAGTCCGCTCCCCGTACGCTGTCGACCACCGCGGGTCTCACCCGCTTCAGCGTCTCTTTGGCCTCCGCGATGCGCCCTTGCTTCATCAAGCAGATGCCGAGGTTGCACATCTTGTTGTTGTCGGGGCCGATGACGAGCGCTCTCCGGTAGGCAGCCTCGGCTTCCACGAAGTTGTCCTTCTGCATCAGAGCCCAGCCCAAGTTCCCCTGCAGCCACCACACATCGCACTGCGTCAGTATGTGCCTCTCGTCTTCTCCATGGACGAAAGAGATGAGTGCTCACCAGAAGCCTCGTCGCTTCTTGCTCCACCGTGACTTGGAACTTCCTCCCCTGCGATCGGGCAGTCTTAGTGCGCTTCCCATTGAAGGCGAGCCCCTGTTGGATGAGCTGCAACTTTCGCCTCAAGAGAGAAATTTGATCGTCCAGTCTCCCACACCTCTGCCGAAAGCGTCATCGACAACCCAATTTAGTCTGCTCATTCGATCCCAGACAAGGAAATGGGAATTCAAGAGGAGTCCGAGGTGTGACCTTGTACAAGTCCAACAGGATGTTATCGAGGGACTCCTGAGCCTGATCCGAGCACCTGCTCCGCAGCGACCTGATCGCCTCGATCGCCTCCTCCGCCCGGTTCTGCTGCTTCATGACGATGGCCATGTCCTTGAGGGCGCTGTCGACGCGGTCGCCGGCGTTGATGGCCGCCCAGAACAGCGCGATCGCCTTCTCGGGGTCCTTATCGACCAGCTGACGGATCCAGCGCAAGAGATGAGCAGGGAACTAACAGGGGGAGAAGAGACCGATCGATCTCTACGAAAGGCGAACTCACCTGAACCCGCTTGGCTCTGACGTAAGGGGTGTCGCCGACGGGGACCTTGTGGGCGACATGGAAGGGATCGGACCGACTACTTATGATGGGTTTGATGGGCGAGCAAGGGGCTGACTTGGATTGCGTGATGCAGGTGAGAGCCGCATTAGCATTCCATGCCTCGTGCATCATCTTCCTCTTCTTCTTGACCACAACAATGTCGATGGGGATCAGAGGAAGACGAAGAAGAAGAAGCGTGCTTGCTTCGATTGGTGGGTTAAGGGGAGAGAGTTTGGCGTTGGAGACGAAGAGGAAGTGTGGTGTTATTTGGGGCGCTTAGTCGACCGTTGCTCGAGATAGCCGTTTGAAATATAGCCGTTGGGAGGGTAAACACTGGGTTGGAAACGAGAATTAATTAATGGTCGCCGGTTGTTATTATGGCCGAATCACCCTCGAAAGCCATCAGGGGTGATGTGACCGAATCACCCGACACGCGGACACGATCGCGACAGCCCTCCATTGCTGAGAAACACGAAGAGATCGTTAAGGATTGCAAGGGTTGGGTTAATAATGAAGTTAGGATAAAGCAAAATATATCGAATTGGGTTATTGGTGTGGAAAAAATATTAGGTAAATCTATGATGATTTATTAGATATTCCAGCTAAATATTGGGTATTCATCTTTATTTGGAAAACAATTATTAGGTAAATGATAATTATGGTGATTTATTAGGTGTTCATCTTTATTTTAAAACATATATTAGTTAAATCTAGGATGGTTTCACATCCACAACAAAATAATTTTTTATGCCACACGATGTACTGCTTTTTCTTTTGTTTTTTGTTCTTCTTGGATTTTGTACATTATATAAAAGATTCATATAAATAATTATAAATAGTTGAGACTTTATGATAATAGTTTTGAGGAGCAGGTGTTTTGATATCTATGCAATCTCCTCCTACATAGATGTGAGCATGGTTCAATCTAAATCAAAATCAAAATCGAACTTGATTAATAATTTAACATTTTCAAACTGAATCGAAACTAAAATCATACTATCATAGACAAATCTATAAATAAGATGTTTGATGCAATCTCATTTTAATTGATTTTTATGATCATGTTAGTCTTATAAACGTATGTTATGTGTAGTCGTCACGTAAAAATAAAATTATCTAAAAATAAAATATCTAAGTAATTATTTTAAGAATTTTTTAACTCTATAAAATGATACAAAGTGTTCAGTACGATACTCCGGAGCTACCTAGGTGACACGTAGCTCGATGAATTTTTTTGAATATTATTTAAAGTTAGTTTGTTGTCGTATTTTACAATAGTATTTATGATCCGATCGTGTAAGTATTTATGACGATTTTTTATCGTGATGAATCATCTTGAATATTTTATCGTATAATTATTCAAAACTTATGAAGTCTATATTTATAATTTATATTAACTATCAAATATTTACTAAGATATTTATTCGTGGGATTCTGAGTTAAAACGTAGTCTATCTTTTTGCTCGTAAATTCTTAAGAGATTATTTGAGGTTCTAAAAAACTTATTCCTTTTTGAACAACACTTAAGAGTATCGATTTAAACAAAATCAATTAAATCTATGTTAAATTTAAATTGAGATCGAACCAAACCTACTCCAATGTATCAGCATCAGTTTCTCTGTTAATATAGTAGGTAATCACCAGTCTCACTATTTACTTAAAATCTGCATATTGTCAACAGGAAAAAGAACTTTTCAGGTTGCACCGAAGAATGCAATGGAAGGGCTTCACGGGGACGTTGATGCCACCTCGGGTCATGGACATTTTGTCTTTCTTGGCACGGCCATTGCCATCCTTATCCGTGAGCTCGGAGTTGGAGCTATCTGCAGGCGATCATGGAGGCTGGAAGGCGATGTGGTGGATAACTACGAGCCCATGTGTGGTGGGGAAACCTCTCTCCTGAGACACTCCAGATAACGATGAGAGAGAGAGAAAGAAAGAGAGAGAGAGAGGGGAAGGGCAAATCCACCCACGCCCTCACGGCCTTCCTAACTCCACTCCCACTTGCTTGCAACCAAGACTTGCACCACGAGGCCATGGGGGCAGGGAAAGTGAATGGTGAACCAAATCATTCTAAGCTCTCTTTACCCACCACCTCCACCTCCACCTCCACCACCGCCACACCTCCCCTTCTTTCTCGCCCTCCCCCGTGATGAAGAAAGAGATGGTGGCCAACAGTAGGCAGGCAACAGTCCCTGTGGGGGGAAAGGAGGAAGAGAGAATTCCAAGACAAGCTTCTACCTAATGCCAATGACACACACCAAAATATCCCCCCTAAAGTTAGCCATCCCCAGTCTGTCTGATGTGTGCCATTACCTGCATCATGTCTCCTTCTTCCTGCAGCTCAACTCCACTGACATCTAATCAGGTTAGAAAGAAACGCATAGCTCACACTAAAAGTTCGTCTCAACATAATACTGCTGCCACTATTGGGCGACCAACCAAGCCAAATTGCTGTGATGCGAGCCATATGTTGCACATGGAATCTGGTGGGTGGCCCTCACACCCTCCCTCCCTCCCCCCTAAGAGTCTCATCATCAACTGTACATCATTGCAACTGAGCTGAGTTGTTAAGGCTGTAGATTCTTGAAGCAAAGGGTGACTCTCTCTCTCTCTTTCTCTCTCACGCACAGGACATCCACTGTGGGCTTCTGCTGCCTTTACACCTACCGACCTTTTGGGGGCGGCCACGGGCAGCAAGCAATGATGGGGTGGGTGCCTTTTGAAGCTGGTAACTGCACGGGAGTGATGTCATCATGGCTCGTGAGGAGGAGGCCTACCATGCCGTCCAATTCCTCTCCCCCGCTTCTTTCCCAATCATCCAACCTTTTCCTCACCAACTTTGCCTCTAGAAGACCTTCCACGGCAGTCAAATGCTTATAAATCTCCATATCCTTCTTCTCCGAGAGGATAAGATATGTAAATGGATAGAGAGATTTACGGCAAAGGCGGAGCTTAGTGAGATAGCCATTGATGGGGAGGTCCCCGTGCTGCGAGAAAGCGCACACCAACAAGGGGGCGTGGACCAAGGAGGAGGACGACCAGCTCATCGCCTACATCCGCGCTCACGGGGAGGGGTGCTGGCGCTCGCTGCCCAAGGCCGCCGGCCTCCTCCGCTGCGGCAAGAGCTGCCGACTCCGCTGGATCAACTACCTCCGCCCCGACCTCAAGCGCGGCAACTTCACGGAGGAGGAGGACGAGCTCATCATCAAGCTCCACAGCCTCCTCGGCAACAAGTAAGCCTCCTCCCGCCACGTCCACCACGCGAGAATACCACCTGAACGCCTTCCTCGTGTCGACTGCAGGTGGTCACTGATCGCTGCGCGGCTTCCCGGGAGGACGGACAACGAGATCAAGAACTACTGGAACACCCACATCAGGAGGAAGCTGCTGAGCAGGGGAGTGGATCCCGTCACTCACCGCCCGATCAACGGCCATGGTTCCGATACAGCCACCCATTTCGAGAGGAAGCCTGCTGCGATTGGCTTCGGACCAGACCAGGAGTCGGACAAGATCAGTAGCAGCGAGGAGTCGTCGGCGTGGCAGCAGCGGCAGCCCAAGTGGCCGGACCTCAATCTGGAGCTATGTATAAGCCCTCCTTCCCAACAGCAACAACCTTTAGAGCCCGTTGATGGAGGGGGAGAGCAACCGCAAAGCCTGTGCTTTAGCTGCGGCGCTGCCGTGGGGTCGCAGAAGCGCCACAAGGAGTGCAAGTGCAGAGACCTCATTGGCCTCAGCACTGGAATGCTGGACTACAGAAACCCATAGAACTCCCAGAGAAGAGAATGTACTCAAAGAATCCTCCATTTCTTGGTGTGTGTGTGTGTGTGTGTGTCTGCGCGCGCGCATGTATATCTACAGGTATACTAGGCAGGTTTCTACCATGGTGGCATTGTCGTGGATGCCTGTCATCTCTTTGTCGATGAATGAAGCTATTATATATTGGCATCTCAACTCTTGTTTTAGGCTCTTTCCAAAGATCCTACCTTTCGTTTCTTGAGATATGAGATCAACAAGCGTATAAAGTAGGATCTGATAATAGATTTGGTCTGCAGTGGGGTGAGGCTTTCTGTAAAGTGCTGTGTACTATTAACCCATCTCATAATTGGAACCAATCAATCTAAGAATCCATGTGAGATAGATAATTAACCTGTTAAGCCATTAATCTGTGATGGATTCACCAGGCAACATGTGCTGTCTGTCTTCCTCCTTGATGCCTGGGGTCATGATGGGCCTGGAGAGGATGACACCATGAATGAGAGTGGTTGGTGATGAGGAGCTCCTGTCATTTGGTTGTTCCATCGGGTCAACAAGTTCTTATCTGAGTTATGAACATGGTGGGGGGGGGGAGGGTTGGCATTGCAATATTACCAGACCAATGATTCATCGAATTCTCTCTCTTTCTTCTTGTTGAAGAAGACGACTAGGAATTCCCAGTGGGATGTTCATGTCGAGACAGCCCTTCTCCCTCAATGCAATAATGAGATGCCAACTTACGGAGGCTTTGCTTTTGAGGTAGAATAAAAGATGAGAGTCCTTTTCCATCACTCATGCTTTTCGGTATGTTAGGTATGCTTGAAGGAAGCGACGTTGGTCTCTCTCGAATGATATCATTAATGAAGATTTTTCTTGCATATTTCACAAGTATAGGAGCCATTTTGCCAAATATTGTTAGAATCAATTTTAAGATGAGGTAAAGAACAATTCCACGTTAGTAAGAGAAAATTAAAATTAAAATTGAAGTCCGATTTTGTTCGACTAGTATTCGATGATCATGGAAGATAACCTTTTAATTCTTTAATTCGTATCGATCTAAATAAGTAAATTTTGAGTTTTAACTCAGAAAAGAAAAATAACAAGAATGATGAGCTGATCCGAGATCGAAATTCAAATTTTTATGATGATTATAAAATAAACCAACATACTCGAAATAAATATTTTTTTGTTCAAAAATATTATTATGAATAATTTGATATGTGAAGGCTAGCCGACAAAAAGATCTCATAATGTTGAGAGATATATAAAATAAATTGACTCACAATATATTTTGGACTTGGGATTTATCATCGTGTTGGTGTCCAACTATTCATTCTTGATAACACTAATCTAGTATCATTCAGACTTGAATTCCTTAAATTCTCAGCAAATATATAGCAATAGGAGAGGGCATGCATTTGCTTATCTTAGACAACTATGAGGCCACTGTGATGTTATTGTGTTGCTGCTGTGGCATCTTTTGTGCTTCTCTCACTTCACTAACAAAAGAAAAGGAAAAGGAAAATTAAATAACAAGGCAGTGAGCAATCATAAGTGATAGAGTCGAGCAAATTGATTTGGTAGAATGTAATGATCAATGTTTGGTTCCAACTTCCATTCTCATAAAGTGGACCATATTTGAATGCAGTGACGCTAGCGGTGTCAAGATAGTGCCAAATGTGTACATACCTACTAGCCTTTCGACCAGCCGAGGTCAAAGCCAATAAGAGAAACTCTCTCGATGAAGATGAGGTGAAGTAGGTAGAGCTATAGCTTACCTATAAACCCAGTTAAAATGGTTAGGATTGTTTTACATTAGACACACAACCTTTTTTAGATGAATTTTTAGAAAGAAATTTTACTTTTTCAAAATTTTTCAAGGAGCATCCTACTTTTTGAAACAATGTCATTATCATGTAAAAATATCGTTTTGCTCCTTCTTTGATTGGACTTATCATCATCTCTATCGTCCAATCGTACTCAAGGTCTCATCATCATTCATAGTCGCTCTCTAGTGTACAGTGCGCTAAGTCACCTCCGCTTGCAACCCTTGCATGAGGGTTGGCTACCTCTCTCTCTATTGTGCGCGGGGTTGCCCCCTCCGTCAATAGTCTTGCCTAAGAGTTAATCGTCTCGTTCCATTATAGTCCTCATGTGAGGGTTAGTCATCCTCCGTCGACTTCATGTGATCGTCGTTGCTATAAGCTATTGAGTTCTGATAAATGCGATGAAGAAGACAGTAGCTAAGAAATATGATATATGGAGGCAAGGTGGAGGGGATGACGAATGGAGGGGCATAATGATCATTTCAAAAAATATATATATTATTTAAAAAATCAAAATAAAGGTTCTATACGAAATTTTTTGAAAAGTAAAGATATTTTTAAAAAATTGGATCGAGTGAGTATCGGGGTGATGCAACAAAATCTTTAAAGACTAAGTAAGTTAGTACTCTTAAAATATGTCAGATAAAATTATAAATTTTTAATCTTTGATGAGCTTGGAATACTATATTAGAAATATATCAGATGAGATTTAATATAGTGAATATAATGTGTGGATAATAGAGCAAAGAAAACTATCATTGCTCTTATATTTAGTATTGTAATCTCTCCGTCCAGTATGATTGGTGTGGCAAAATCTTCATCACCACTCCATTTCATTAACGATGAATGATTGTGTTGTGAAGACAAGAAATACAAGTGCATTCACAAATGACAACAATTATCGTACTATATGATGGGTGGGAGCTAAATGAATGTGATGAGATTTTTCTTTCTTGTCCTAATAATTTGGTGACTGACTTCCAGCAATTAGTAATTGATTTCTTTTTCTTTATCATCACCGGTTGTGTTGATCACACATCCTGATTGGTAGTGAGAACAAATCTCAATTTTGAGACTGCACTTGAATAACTCTATAGGAAGATTTATTTTCTTTATTTTTTAGAATTCAAAGCGAAATTAACAACACATGCAAAATGTCGAATTATCTAATAATCAGAACTCATTTCAAACTTAATCGAAATGGAATTTTGTTAGACCCAAATAGGACGGACGTTCACAAAATTAACTCATTAACTTATTTTCCAGCCTAAGAAAGCATCAGCATATCAAACGCATAATTCATTCAGTACGTATCTTATATTTGATTATGATGCCTATAATTCTCGGTTGGATATGTATATTTCAAGAAAATCCAACAAGATTTTACGGATATTTCAATTTTTTATCATTATTTATTAAATAAAAATTATTTAGGAGATTTAGAACACAAGAAATGCAAGCGGGTGTTTGGTCTAGTGGTATGATTCTCGCTTCGGGTGCGAGAGGTCGCGAGTTCGATTCTCGCAACACCCCCTTGTACTTTTGTTTTTTTTAACACTGCAAGTTGTAGGAAATGTTTTTTTTTTTGTTTTTTTGAGCCACAGCGATGAAGATGAATTGGTAACGCTTTCATAAGTTTTCTTTTTTGTTTTTTGTTAACACTGCGATTTCTAGACGAATTGTTAACGAATACTCGGAATCGCTTTCATAAGTTTTCTTATGAAATGATTTTTTTTTTTTTTCTGCTTCAGTGTTGAAGACGGATTTGTTTTCTTATTATTAATTTGGCTCGACGAGTTGTTAACGTTGCCATCATAATTGTTGATAAGGATTGCATCTTTGCTTAATTTTCTTTGGGAATTGAGTGACCATTCGTCAATAATTTTGCAACAAAAAATTGCATGGCACTCCATAGAATTAAAAAAGTCCATAAAACAAAATCATCCAATTACCATGTGGCTCAAATGCATTCGATCAGCATATTTCCTAAGCCTGTCTCACTGAAGTGACAAAAAACACTTTTCATTCTACAACTGTGAAGAGAAAACTATTTCCTGTTTCAATTACTGGACTACAAAAATCATGAGGTACACACACTCTGTGGAAAGCAAGGAATGTAACAAAAACAAAAAATACAAAGATAAAAAACATATTCAGTAGGAGCCATTTGAGAATGTCACCAGTGGCTTTTCACCTCAGAAGGGCCTTTTTGGATCATGGAACAATGATGTATGAGTTCAAAAATAAAAGAGATGCTTATTCTAAGAAAGCATTGTCTTGATCTTTGTCTTACTGATCACCTATCGCGACTTGGGAAATGAAACTTCCTGATCTCTTTATGTTTAGTGATTCCCTGGAGAATTTCCTTAATTTTAATCAGGAAACTAAAACAAGAAAATTGGGAAATTAGTAGAAAACAAGACCGACTGACCTTGGTGCCATTTTCCACCAAATGTTCAGCTGGATGTTGGATGGTTTTCTCAAAACCTACCGAAGCTTGAAGCTGAAAGAAATCACAGAGATCAGTCATAACTCAACAAAGTTGCAGACGTATAACTAAGAAAGAGAAGCAAAAAACAAAACAAAAAAACAGATTAAACACCATAAGACCATGCAAACTTTAAAAGAAGCAGAATGGATTCTGACTAGTAAATATTAATTCACTACGAAGCAATCACTTCATGATAGCAACAGGGCCTTCACTAGGTGTGTGTTTAAGCCGAAGTCACCACCGCTAAAGCCCATCTGAACTTGATCTCTTAAGACATCAAAGTCTCCTCCATTAAAAGGCTTCTCATTCTCACACGGACGGAACAAATAGCCCACAACAATTCCCTAACTCACAGGTGAGGCTCCTTCCACCAGTAATGGCCTGACCATTTGACCTGCCTCCTTGCACCATTCCTTCTGCTCTCCATGTTTAAAATTCCATCTACATTCTTCATTCAGAAAGAAAAAGTCGTATCGTGAAGCCTTGGCAGTTGATACTCTCAGTAGTCCTTTCTTCCATTGGGAATATCATCAAAGACAAGCACTTAATGCCACGGTCCAGATTCTAAGGATGATTAACTCTAATTTTTGTACTAGAAAGTGAAAATCTCAAGATCACAAATTCAACATATGAAAATCATGGAGGACAACACTACAGATAAACTCAGAGTCCAAATAGATGTTCCACGCATGTTGTCTATTTACATACCGCATCCTCTAGACAGCTTGCTTCTCGTGACCACATTTTATAGTATACGAATTAGGTGACCACATCCTTTGAGATGAATTAGGTGAAGCATAATTAGTTGACGAAGAAGAGAAAAACAACTTTTAATACTCTTTCTAGATAACTGCTACATCACCAAGTTCATTCCTTATTGTGACACCAACACTTACTCGCTAAAAAGGCAATCTAATTGACAAGCCTCTCACCAATGCAAAATCTCAGGAAAGCCAATGTGAGTAGCTTTAGCCCCATAAATAGGAAGGTTTTAAGCAAGCTTTAGTATCAACAAAAATCAGTATATCGACATTTTGCTTCATAAAGTAGATATTCAGCATCCAGGAGGATGGGCCTTAGTACGATGGTAAGCATGCTCCTTGCAACCAGGATTCGAGTCCTGAAAATAGCATCTCTACATATAGAGAAAAGGCAGCATACATTGATCCTCCCCAAATCTCGTATTGACTGAAGTCTAATGCACTGGGTGCGCCCTTTTAGAGTAGATAATCATTGTTTCTCAAATTTACATGAAGAGAAAGAAAAGACATAAATCTGTAGTGTGATAAACTGATATTATTGATTGATCTATCACAACAGTACCATTCATTACAGGAAAGATACAATTATTATGAGGATTCTAGACCAATATTGTCATGTCCTGATACCAAGAGCAATTACTAAAACTGCACAGAAAATATACAAGGAAATAATAAATATCCAGAGCAAAAAAGGTAACACCATTGATAGGGCATATTTTGGCTCATGAATCACTAGCAACACCACACACCGTCAGCCACCAACGCAATGCCACACGCCGTCAAAACCACGGGGTGCACGCCACGTCAAGTTCGGTACCAATACACTGTGCGACTTGACCACCCCGAGAGCTCGGGGCGGTGTCGTCTGCTCTTGGGGTAGAGCCGTCTGACGCCACTCAAGTGTTAGGATCGAGAGCACTAAGAGGGGGGGGGTG